AGCAGACAGTCGCCGGTGAAAGCTGAGCAATGGTGGACTTTCTTTCGTTAACTAAGCTGATGCTTTTCGTGCAATGCCTCTAAGAACAATTTGCATATATATTCGCTATTTACCGGGTTCAAGAATAATATTAATGATAATGATAATAATAGCGATGACGAAAATAAACATGATAACAAAAATGGGAATCATGTTAATGATAGAAAATGATAATAGTGATAATATCATAATATGGTAATGATTATAAGGATAGTGATAACAATATCTGTTATGATGATAATAGTAATGATAATGATAATAGCAATAACAATGCTAGTAATAATACTAATTATCATAATGATAATAACAATGATAATAATGAAAATAATGATGATAACAATTAAAAGGATAACAGTAACATCGAAAACATTATTATTAGTAATAATGATGTTAATAATGATACCAATTACAATAGCGATAATAATAGAAATGATAAAAATAATTGATATGATGACAATTAAGAGATGCATTTTCAACATGCCAGTGCATAAGTTTTTGGGAACGTTATATCGTAAATAATTCTTGAGTAAATCTAAGCTGGACCTAGATTGTAGGCCTAGGTTCGATACATGTAATATTCACAGTAATGAAAATAAATGATAATCATATCAATGACAATAATCATTATAATAATAAAGATGATGATGAAGATGATGATAATAATAATAATAATAATGATAATAATAACAATAGTCATAATAATGATAATGATAAAAATAACAGTAATTATAATGATAATAATAATAATAATAATGATAATAATAATAAGGATGATAACAACGATTATAGCAATGATGATAATGATAATAATAAGAATAATGACTGTAACAATAAAGACAAAAACAGCAGTAACAATAATGATAAAAATAATATTGTTATTAGTTATGATAATAATAATAATGATAAAGACAAGTTTGATTAAATTGGGCTCCTCACGATGACTTGCAGATTCTTCGCGCGGTGAAGGTCAAGGAATTTTTTACTTAAATTTATGATATAAATTTGTCCCAAAGATAGATAGCTACACAGATATAGATAGGTAGATAGACAGACAGTCAGATACAGAGATAGATATACAGACAGATACAGATAGATAGATAGACAGACAGATATATATATATATATATATATATATATATATATATATATATATATATATATATAGAGAGAGAGAGAGAGAGAGAGAGAGAGAGAGAGAGAGAGAGAGAGAGAGACAGAGAGAGAGAGATAAATAGATTCATATGACCGCATTGCTAATTGCTATAAATGCAACTCATTAAATTATAAAGAAAAAAAAATCCTAACCTTGAAGATTGTTCCATGAAATCGCGTTTCCTGATGTTTGTGTCGATCAAAGTTGTTAGTATCTGACTTGACCATTTCTGGAATTCATGAAACAAAAAACTTGGGATATGTGATGCTTGTTCTGAGAAACATATCAGTAAAATTAAGGAAATCAATTACCATGAAATCAACTCTTATGGAAATGTGATATAGACGGAAATGTTAGTTGTTTAAACTCTAGTCAACAAGCTGCTTCCTGTATCGTTATCTGCTACAATCATATTGGGGGAAATGTTACTTTACTTTGTTTCATATTCACTGTCCAGATATAAAGTATATGCGTAGCATTGCCAGAATGATTGCGAAATTGTTGGAATCTGTTCTTGTCTTGAGATCTAGAAGTACAATGTCATCAGTATACTATTGCATAAAAATTTCAATGGCAATATAAGTTAATACGTATTGTTGTTGTTGTTGTAAATTAATGTTGTTTTAAACTAAGTTAATATATCGTACAAGTAATTTTCCGAAGTACACCTTGCGTAACACTGGACTGGACTGTCACTGACATCCTAGACTGTCACTGAGACTGTCACTGAGACTGTCAGACTGACTGACATCCTAGACTGTCACTGACATCCTAGACTGTCACTGACATCCTAGACTGTCACTGACATCCTAGACTGTCACTGGACTCACTGAGACTGTCACTGACATCCTAGACTGTCACTGACGACTGTCACTGACATCCTAGACTGTCACTGGACTGTCACTGAGACTGTCACTGAGACTGGACAAACTGGACTGTCACTGGACTGGGACTGGGACTGTTGGGAAGGACTGGGGTTGGGTTCGTTACCAGGTGGCACTGAAGTGGCTTTGATCTAATGTTAACACTGAAGCTTTTATTGTTTCGTGTTAATTCATACTTTGATATCTAATAGTCTAATAGATGATAGAAACAAGACACACAGTTCGCACGTACAATATATGTAACAAAGACATGAACCATCTTTATTTTTGTTCAGTCATGTCGGTTTCTTAGGTCGTACGACTAAATTTATGCATTTATCGGTTGACTGCGATTATACAGCGATATATATGAGACACATATGTATATAGAAACAGTATATATCTTTAAATATATTCAAGTATACAAAAAACTGCATGTATATATATATATATATATATATATATATACATACATACATACATATATATATATATATATATATATATATATATATATATATATATATATATATACATACATACATACGTACACACACACACACACACACACACACACACACACACACACACACACATTATATTATATATATATATATATATAATACATACATATATATATATACATATATGCATACATACTATCTCTAAACACACACACACAAACTACGTGAATACATAAAACCGCAGGGTCTTGAGTAACAAAAGAAAGCCCTGATGCTAACCAAATCAGAAACGCCACAGCTCGACCGGGGTGTTAGGACCCATGACAGGTTCGTCCAGACACGTTACCCGTTGTCAGTGCGAAGCAAAGAGGATGAACATAACTGTCTTGCCCAGCCACAGAAAAGGATCGATACAGAAGCCAATATTTAAGGTTGTAGTGGATAATCATATACTCCGTAGAGTTATAGATGTTAATTTAGTAGCGTGTATTCCAACTACAGGTAAGATCCATGTAAGTCTGGCGTTAATTAGTAATGACTCTCAGGTGAGCCAGAGAGTGATTCCGTAGTCACGATAAAACAATAAAATAAGATCACTGGCTGACAAAAAGGCAACATAAAAAGGAGCATCCATATTATACATTTATTTCGCACAAAACTTTCAAAAACGTAACCAATATACAAGGACAAACACCATACACTTATAAAAACAGAGGCAACCCGCCACAGCTCGAGAAGCACCAGTCAGCCAGCTAAAATCCAACAAAAGCCTTTCCCTCAAGCCCGATCTGACTTGACCTTATATACAGGTGGCTCCCGCGCTTACTGAGATTTTGCCCATAATGCAGTTAATTTATTCGTTAAAGAGTGTATGGTGAGCTTGAAAAAAGTTCAGAAATACATCAAATAAAAAGAACGATAAAATAGACCAAAAATAGGAAAGTACGAAAAGTGAAAGAAGGGATCCGTGAGAGAAAACGGAGAATCACGAAGGGGAAACGGGAGGGAAACGAAGCTAAGGTGAATTAGTCGAAGACGAAAAGGCAAGAATAAGGTAAGTATGGAATATAAGGTAAGTAGAGTACAAGTAGTGTCATGTATAGTAGGAGTGTGTAGATGTAGAGATAGATCACGGACCAGTGGGAAAGGTAACCCAAAGGAATATAATAACAGGTTTATTCTTATTAAAAAGGCGCAGACACACAGGAAACAGCAAAGCCTCGTCATCTTGCAGGGCGGAGGAGTCCGTAGGTTATCCAAGGAACGATCCGTAACGTCAGGGGAACAGGCGGCCCGAAAGCCTGCGCGATGACCCCCCCCGCCTGCAGCCAAGGGAAATTCACTACAAAGGTAACTAACTGCATAATATATCAACTATCGGCCTGAATCACAAATGTCAAGGGGAAAAATTTAACCATGACTGTATAAGAAAAGGTTTTAAGAAGGAATATATCAATATTATAAGCACACTGTTACTACAACTATTTATTCCATTGGTTATTTTCATACGATATATACTTAAAATAATTCAGCATAATGTCATCAGTAGACTTAGATATAGTATTCAAGGAGAGATGGATGACTACCCTACTTTTATAGTAAACTTTAATTACTTTTGAATGTCTTACTTAAGTTATTCCCGCATTTGTCTTGACTTCCTTTAACTTGTTTTTTTCTCTTCTCCCTCATACACTATTTATATATAGAGAGATATGTATATATGTATATATATATGCATATATATATATATGTGTGTGTGTGTGTGTGTGTGTTACATATACATATATATATATATATATATATATATATATATATATATATATATATATATATATATATATATATATATATATATATATATATATATATATATATATATATATATATATATATATATATATAGTGTGTGTGTGTGTGTGTGTGTGGTGTGTGTGCATGTGTGTGTGTATTACCATCTGCCGCGTCTTCTCGCTTCCCGCATCCTCAGACTGCTCCCGTAAGCCGGCCACCCTTGGCACAGACCGCCTGACCCTTGACCTGTTCTCGTTTACCCAAATGAGAGGATGAAATCGATACTGATTTCGAAAATGTCACTTTTCAATGAGTTCAGATTTTGTGAGTTGGGTATTTTACTATGATTATCATTGTATTTGTTAATGTTAGTATTATGGTAATAATAGTCAATGTCATTAATACAACTATTTATTATCATTTTCATTATAATTTTCGATGTCATCATCATTATTTTCCTTATTAGTATTAATTTATCATTATCATGTTCATTGTCCTTAGTACTATAATTTCCAATACCATTGATATGATTTTTGTTGTCGTTATTACCACTATCATAAATTTTATTGCTGTTATTATTTCTGCTTTTGTTATCATCAGCATTAATCATAAAAGCTTGGAGATGGGAGAGAAAAGATAGGCATATTCTATGTATTTCATATCATGCTATCTCAACCAGGATGGATAACATCACACTGATTCGTCACTCTCATCTTCTAGTGTTGACGCGTCGCTGTCTTCTTGAGGTGACTCCTCGGATGCCACACCTCGCCACCTCGCCCTCGTCGCCACCTCGCCCTCGGCTGCCACCTCGCCCTCGGCCTTCCTGTCTGCCCTTTGCCGCACCTTTCCCCTCGTGCCTGCTGCCTCCGGACGCTCATCCCTGCCCGCTGCTGACAAAGGCTCGTCGTCCTCCGGTGCCTTCCTGGCCTTGCCCTTTCTGCCAGTTGCTTGCCGAGGCTTGTCTCCCCCGCCTGCCGCTGCTTTCGCCCCGTCCCTGGCAGCTGCTGGCGGAGTGTCGCCGCTGCCAGCTGCTCCCCGAACCCTCCTCCTCCCGCCCACGGCCGAGGGCTCGCCAGCGCCCGGCGCCTCGGGGTCTCGAGGCGGCTGCAGGTCCGGCAGGAGAAGAGGCGCGAGTTAGAAACACCTCGGAAGGATCTTCACACTCAGTCGCGCTCCGAATTCTCAGCTCACACACATACACATATACATATATATGTATATACATGAATATATATATTCAAATATATACCCATACATAAATACACACACACACGCGCACACACACACAGATATATACATACTATATATATGTATACATATGCATATACATGTATATAGAAATGTGTATGTATGTATTCACAGAAACATTTTAATAGAAACTAATTGAATCGCTGACACACTTGCCTCCATTTCTTGCAGACGAAAATATTCCATCGCAGAAAGAACGTCTTTCATTTTCTCTTCCTGCTCGCGCACCTGCCTCTGAAGTGAAGAAATGAGAAAATTACATGTATTTTCTTCTCTTGTTGTTTATCATTGTTTGATAAGATCTGAACCCTTGCCTCCCTCCCTCCCTGCAGACTGCAGTTGCATAGAAATAGCCTTTATTTCACCCGACGGAGAGGGAAGCGTCTGGACGCGGGGCACTCACCATCATTCGCTTCAGCAGGCTGTCTTCCTCCTCGGACTGCGGGTCGACTTCTTTTTCTTCTTCTTCTCTCTTTCTTCTGAAGAAAAGGTTAATTTCCTTGTCCTTATTTTTTCATTACTATTATTTTTATCATTATTATTTTTTATCATTATTATTATTTTTATCATCATTATTATTTTTCATCATTATTATCATTGTTATTTTTGTGTATATATATACATATATATAATAAACTCGCCCCTACCTTGAGGTCCTCGATCTTCTTGTCTCGTCTCTTGAGTTCGCTCTCAAGCTCGCCTCTGTCCTCGGCTGCCTCTTTCTCTTTCCTCTTCTCCCTTTTTTTGAGGTTCTTCACCCTTTTCTCGTGATCTGCCTGGAAACGAACACTCTATGAGTACTGCGGCATGGAACACCTGCTGTG